GCATATCTCAAAAAAAGTTGTTAAAATTTTTTCTTTTGGTCCAGCTTCTAGAATGAACCCTAGCACATAGTTAAATGAATAGAGGCAAATATTCTTTAAGAAATATTGAGGAGATGGCCATCTTAGATAAACTATTGGTCTCTTTCCTTCAAGAGCAAAGAAGAGTGAAGAAAATCAAAGACTCAAGGAAAAAATCAGTCCAAAGGACTATGAAATCAATGAACCACAATCCTCATTATCTCAAGACCAGAATTAGATAATGCCTGGCGGCCACTACCAACCACTCTAATCAGGATCACAATTGAAGGTCCTGGTCAGAGTAGGAGAAAAATATAAAATACAATGTAAAATCATAAAAAAGGTCAGACTTAACTGATCTGATAGAGACTTGTGGGACTCCTAGACTATAGCCCTTAGACATCCTTCAACCCTATAACTAAACTCACCCCTGGAGATCATGGTTCAGCCTAACAACACACAGGCCAATAAGATGAACAATAACACACTTGAGGAATGTGTTTCCCAGAACAATCAGCCATACTAGACCAAAGGGCAGCGTTTTCTTAAAAACAAAGTTCAGAGGGCAGGAAGGGGCAGAAAGATGGGTGAATGGAAATAGGGAATCCAGAGAGGATGTGGGCAGAGTGTCTGTTATGCTGAGAGGATGTAGGCAGAATGCCTGTTATACTGAGAGGATGTGGGCAGAGTGCCTGTTATGCTGAGAGGATGCAACTAATGTCATGGAACAAAATGTATATGAATTGCTGAATGGGAAACGAATTTGCTCTGCAAACAAACATTTACCCAAACCATCATAAAAAAAGGTTTTGTTGTGTTTTTTTCTTTTTTTAAATCAAAGTTATACCTTAATAAGCAGGTTTAAAAACAAACAAATAAGCAAACATTGAGAAGCTAGAAAAAATAATGTCCCATTATGCCCTGGATGTATTTATATTATGAGTAGTAGAGAAATAACAGTATTTTCTGGAATTTTTGCTACAGACGTCTATCAAGGCTTGTGCTTTCTCCTCCTTCTACTTCTATTTATTTTTTAAATTTCTATTTTCATCCATTGCAGGCCATATGTATTTTCCTCACCTCAGAATCACCCTAAAGTGCCTCCCCTTTAGGCTGCCCTAGGCTAGGCAAGGAGGGAGGTCAAGTTTCTCTTGGACCTCTTCCCCTTCCCCATCTTCTCTTCCCTAACTACCACCTTAAGCTCATCCCCATTTTGTTTTTCATGAAGAAGGAGCTATAATGTTTCTAACACTTTCAGTGGATTCTCAGCAGTCATTCTTCCTTGCAAGCTTACCTGGGGAGGAGATAATCAGAATGACTGGGTGTGGAATTTCACACAGTGTGATAATTGGGTGGGGAGAGGTTGAGGGGCAGCCACAGAGGTGGCTATCTGCTCCTCCTATAACACCTATTGGAAAGTGCTCCTTCCCAACTTCCATATCCAGTCAGGCACTGTTTATTTACCATGGTTTTGATATGCTTTCATGAAATCTTACCAAGAGAGAAGATAATTACAACAAATTCTTAAAGTAGAATTTCACACAGTGTGATAATTAGGTGGGGAGAGGTTGAGGGGCAGCCATGGAGGTGGCTATCTGTGACCCACTGCTTGTTGTTAGGAGCCATCCAGTCGGTACCGACTAATAGCAACCCTGTGAGCGACAGAACAGAACACTGCCTGGTTCTGTGCCAACTGCACAATCATTGCTACATTTGAACCCATTGCTGCTGCCATTGTGCCAGTCCATCTTACTGGGGGTCTTCCTCTTTTTCTCTGACCCTCCATTTTACCAAACATGATATCCTTCTCCAGTTACTGGTCTCTCTTGATAATTTGTTCGAAGTATGAGAGACAACATCTGACCATCCTGGCTTCCAAGGAGCAGTCTGGCTGTATTTCTTCCAACACAAATCTGTTTGTTCTTTTGGCAGCCGATGGGACTTTTAATATTCTC